GTGATTATGCCACCTAGCTGCCTTTTTAAGTACTTACTATGTGCCGAGGCTCTGTGCCAAGCACTAGGGATACAAAAATGGGGGGGGGGAGCAAAATTAGTCCCTGCCCTCAAGAAGTTTACAATCTAATGGGGGGACAATAAATACACAACTGTGTACAAAGAAGATACACACAAGGTAAATCAGAAGTCATTTCAGAGGGAAAGCAGTAGCACTGAAGAGGAAAAACCAGGACAGGATTCTTGTAGCAGGTAGGGTTTTACCTGAGACTTAAAAGAGCTAGGAGGCCAGGAGGTGAAAGTGAGAAGGGAAAATATTTCAGACAAGGGGGACAGAGTTGGGAGATGGAGTGTCATGTGCAAGGAACAGCAAGATGGCCAGTATTTCTAGGTCACAGACTATGAGAAAGGGTAGGAAAGGTAGGAAAGGGCCAGGCCAAGGGTGGGGAGAACCTTCGGCCTTCTAAATCCTTAAGTGCAGCCTTTTAACTGAATCCAAATTTTACAGAACAATTGGATTCAGTCAAAAGGCCACTCTTAAGGATTTAGAAAGCCACATGTGGCCTTGAGGCTACAGCTTCCCACCCCTGGGCCAGGCTATGAAGGATTTTCAAAGCCAAAAAGAGGATTTTCTATTTGGCTCTCAAGCCACTAGAGTTTATTGAGTAGAGGAATGACATGGTCAGACCTGCACTTTAGGAAGATCATTTTGGCAGCTGAATGGAGAATGGGCTGGAAGGGGGCGAGATGCTTGAATCAGGGAGACCACCCATACCAGCTACTGCAGTAGTCCAGATGTGAAGTGAGGAGGACCTATACCAGAGTGGTGACAGTGTCAGAGGAGAGAAGAGAGCATCTATGAGAGATGTGGTGACAGTGGAATCAACAGATTGCATATGGTGGCGAGAGAGAGTAAGGAATCCAGGATGACACCCAGGACTAGGAGGAAGGTGGTACCTTCCATATACTAGAAAAGACAGGAAGGGGAAAGGATTTGGGGGAATCTATGTAATGAGTCCATTTTGGGCTTGTCAAGTTGAATATATCTATGGAAAATACAGAAGTGTCACAAAAACCTTGGAGAGAGGACGGTACCCAGAAGAGGGTGACAAACAGCACCAAAGGCTATAGAGGTCAAGGATAAAGAGTGAGAAAAAAAAAACATTAAGAGAGAGATCAGTGACAATTTTGGAGAGAGAAGTTTCAGTTAAAGAGGTCAGAAGCCAGACAGCTAAGTGCTTAGTAGAGTGAGAGAAGAGGAAGTGATGACATATTGTGGAAGTATTTCTCAAGGAGGTTAGCCATGACAGAGAGAAGAGATAGGGGACAATAGATAACAGGGATAGATGGAGCATGTGAAGATTTTGGTTTTGGTTTTGTTTTAAAGGATGGAAGAGACATACATGGCTATGTTTCTAAGCGGCTGTATCTCTCACTCATTTTGCGCCCCCATCTGGCAGTTCCAGCAAATAGCAAAAAAAAAAAAAAACTTGTCTCGCTAGCAAATACATAATAAGACATAAACTCTTCTACTCCCCTCTTCACTATGCTCTACAATCTGTGCCTCTTCTCCAAGGTGCATTTAACTCCCCCAAGGGCAGCCACACAAAATCATTACTGAAATGAATGACTATGGAATCTTAAAGAAACCCATTTCTTTAAATAAATGGCAAAAAATTTTTTTAAAAAAACAGAAAGAAGTAAAAAAAAATACTCTTGGGATACAAGGACTGGACATATATCTCACTGCCCTCTTAGGAGCACTGAGTGAAAGTGAGGAAAATCATAAAAGTGAGAGTCAGGAAGAGTCTGGTTGTCACCAATTTTGTTCTTGGGACAGCTACATCCACTTTGCAATTGCCCTATTAACCAGAGCTCCTAGGCCCCAAAGCAGCAGCCCTCTCATTTCTTTGATCCTCCTCCCCACCCACCCCCATAAAACTTAAAAAAAAAAAAACAAACATGTTTTGTGCTATTCTTAGCTTTCCTCAAAAACCTCAGCTTATTCTGAGCTCTGGGAAGGGGAGGTTGATTTGTCTACAGCCGTTTCAGGTGTCATGGAATAAGGCCCTGCTAAACTAAGGCTCGAAGGAAGAGCCCAGAACTTTATTTAACCATCATTGGTTATTGGTGATGTTGAATTCCCTCAGTATATAGTAGGCATAAGGTGCCAGTTCTTAGGAACCTTACGTTCTAGAGCTGTGGACCAACATATGATAAGGAATCTTACGTGCATCTTAAAAAAGCAAATAAATCCTGTGACTCGTGTCTAGTTCCTGAACAATAGCAATCACAAGTTAGAGGGAAACTGGCACCAGAGAAGTCCCTGGGTTTGAATTCCAGCTCGGCTGTTCACTCCCTAAGTGATCTTGGGTAACTTTTGTGTCTCACTTCACCTCTCTAAGGTTCTATTTCCTCATTTGTAAAATGTGAAAGCCAGTCTGTATGATCATCAGGGCTCTTCTCAGCTCCAAATCTTATGATAGGAGGAGCACTGGACCAGGAGTCATGAGAACCTTATTGTGTATCACAGATCCTACTCTTCCTAGCTGTTTGACCATAGAGAAGTCACTTATGGTGAAACAGACAAAGAGAGAAGAAGACAGAGAAGCAGAGACAGGGACAGTGAAAAAGTGAGATGGAGACAAAGGGAGAGAAAATTTACTAATCACTTGTAATGTGCCAAAGTCTATGCTGAGCACTGGGGACACAGCTACATGGCAGCAAAACAGTTTCTGCTCCCAAGAAATGGGAGGAGAGGTAACACATAAAAGGATGCTGCAAAGGGGGGGACAGCTTTGGAGGGACAGCAGGATGGCATGGAGATGGCCAGGAAGTGATGTGGAGGCCCGGTTCTGAGTGAAGAAAGGCTCATCTGTGAGAGTCTAAATGACCCAGAGGAGAAATCCAAGGTTCTGGGGGAACCAAAATTACAAATCCAAGGGGTAGATGGGAATAAAGGCCAGAAACAATCAATCAATCACCAAGCATTTGTTTTTTGGCTAGGCAATGGGGTTAAGTGACTTGCCCAGGGTCACACAGCTAGTAAGTGTTATGTATCTGAGGCCGCATTTGAACTCAGGTCCTCCTGACTCTAGGGCCAGTGCTCTATCCACTGTGCCACCTAGCTGCTCCCCACCAAGCTTTTATTAAGGAGCCACTATGATCAGCAAAAATAGAGCTACTGCCCTGAAGGAGCTTAAGTTCTCATGGAAGAAACATCGAGTATCCATATGCACACCCTGGATTAGGCATAGTGTTGCACTGATATGGGCGACTCCCAGTAAGGGAGCTCCTATAGATGAAAATCAATCTGCAACTGCCCTGTCACTTGGATAAGAAGTTACCTGAGCCACTGAGAAACTAACCTGGACTTGCCCAGGCTCACACAGAAAATGAGATCTTCCCTCCTGGATGGGCACTGCTCTGCCCATTCTACCACACTACCACTACTAATAATACTTACCACTTACATTACAACATTATCTCACTTGATCCTCAACAACCCTGTGAGGTAGGTGCCATTATTATCCCTTTTTTACAGATGAGAAAGCTGAGGCAAGCAGTGTGGTTAAGTGACTTGACCAGTGACACAAAGTTGGTAAATACAGCAAAAATTATAATAACAGTAATAACAATAGCAACAATAATAAGTAACAATTCCATAGCACTTACTATGTGCCAGGCACTGTGCTAAGGGCATTACAGATGTTATGTCATTTGATTCTTACAACCATATGTTAGGTAGGCACCATCATTATCCCCATTTTACAGATGAGGAAACTGAGGCTGAGAGAAGTTAAGTGACTTGTCCAGGGTCACACAGCTAGGAAGTGTCTGAGACAGGATTGAGAACCAACTCTTACATTGGATAGAGCACTGGACCAAGGGTTAAGAAGTCCTGTGCTCAAATCCAGCCTCAGACACTTACCCTCTCTCAGCCTGTTTCCTCTATAGTTATCCTTTCCACATTGTGACTTTCCCTATCTTAGTTTCGATATATCATGGGTTGGCGTAAGAAATTAAATGGGAATTTGCAGGGAGTTTTGCAGAGGCCAAAGACAACATGGAAAAGCCAGCAGACAGCACAGAAAAGGTTAAGAACCCAGAAATACATAAAATGTATGTATAGTATTGTATAATATCAATATATTTTATCTTTTAATACCATAATCATTCAGACTTCTTCTCTGGTACAAAGAGAGGACCAAAAAATTTTACCGGGATTTTCCAGATCACCAGTGTGCCGGGCTCCTAACCCACCACCCACCCACCCACCCATGTGGAAAGGATAACTGCACTATAAAATAAGGATAATAATAACAACCTCCTAAGGTTGTTGTTACACCCAAATTCGATAATGTTTGTAAGCACTTAATACAGTGCCTGATACATAGGAAGCAATGTACAAACACTTATTCACAACTGTGATGCGGCTTCACATATGACTATGTACAACATTAATACATGGGCATTTGAAGAAGGGGTAGAGAATCTAGCAACCGGGAGAATTAGGAGAGGCTTCCACCGTTTAATTGCTCTGACTCAGTTTCCTCGTTCATAAAATGGGATAATAATACCTGCAATACTTACTTTACAGGGTTGTTGTGGGCAAAGTACTTTGTGAGTCCTAAAATGTTATATAGCCATGTTGAGTTACTGTTATTATAATAGTTATTACTATCATATCCAAATAGGAAAGAGAGACTTTTGGGGTTGACTTCAGAGGAACAACTCCCAAAGACTAGGCCCGTTTTAGACACGACTTCACTTTAAAGGAAAAAAAGAAAAGAAAACAAAATAATAAAAGTCCCAGGCGTCTTTTTCTTAAGGGGAGAGAGATCCCTCCAAAAGAAAGTAAGCCAAACAATATAATAAAAGCCTTTCTCAATGGGTGTGGGGGTGTGGGTGTGGGTGTGGGTGTGGGTGTGGGTGTGGGTGTGTGTGTGTGTGTGTGTGTGTGTGTGTGTTAGGTGCAGCTATGTGCTTAGCGGAGTACAGACATGTTCAGATCTGCAGGAAATCGTCTGGACCAACCAGAGGGAAGGGACTGTCTGACTAACTCCTGAGCAATGTAACCCAAGCGAAAGGGGCGTTGGTCGTCCAGAGATAAGTTCCGAGCCCCACAAATCCGTTGCTTGCTGCATTTGCTTGCCCTCCGACGCTGCTCTCTAGAGAGGCTCCACTTCAAATTCTCCTCTTCCCTCAACAATGGTAAGGTACATTTTTTTTCTTCTTTGTCTTCCTCTTAGCTCAAAAGCAACAGTGTAGTTTCCCACAGGTTTCTGGAATGTCACCTTTCATTTATCTGCTCTCGTAGCAGGAAAGGGCAAAAAGAAAGCTACTCACTCAGCTTGAGGGGTGGGGAGGTTGGGCAAAGGAGACCTGCATTCCTATCCATCACAAGAGCCTGGCTGTGGGATTTCAGCCTTCTCATTAGAAATGAGAACGAGGAGGAAGGGAAAGCTTTCTCTACTCTCTGAGCTGTACTGGGCACTTTGTACAAGATCAAAAAAAGTTTCCCTGGCAAGGGATCAGAGGTGCAGTTGGCTACCTCCTCATCCCTCTTAGGTCCCGGGCATTCATTAATGTTAAGTTTGGAATGAAAATAATTACTGTGATTTCCTTTCTATATCTGAGGGGCCTCAAGGCAGGTCTACATATACCAAAGAAGCTGGGAGGTAGCAAAGCCCACAGAAATAAAGAGGATTTGGGGGGCTGGGGCTAGAGAAGCCCAGAGACTGGACTGCATACCCCCCCAAAAAAGAGAAAACTCAGGACTTGATCTTCTGAATCCTGAGGGAGAAATGGAGTTTCAGTTAAGGCCTGGAAAGCTGCCAAAGGAGAAAAACACTGAAACCAAATACTGTTGCTAAGCCTAACCACAGTGGGAGGAGGCCCAATTTCAGACTCTCATTTATCCCTCTTTTAACCCCTTTCCCCCTTTCATTCTTTCTCGCTTGAGTCCAGGCCAAAGGTTCTCATCCTTTTTTTTTTTTTGGTCTTCCTGTATTTGGGCTTTCCATAAGCCATTCTCCCTATTCAATATGAAAGAAAATTCCAGAGTTTACCATGCATAAGGATATAAGAAATAAAACATTAATTAATTTCAGTGTGATAAATTATTTACCAAGTATTTGCTGTGCCCCCTTGACAAGCCTCTCATGTCCTCTGGGGTTACACACATCCCATATTGGGAAACCTTGATTTAGACATATTCCTTCCCTAACCCAAACTTCTCCTCCCACCTCTTTTGGTTGCACCCTTATCTAGATTTATGTTCTCCTTTCTTATTTTCACTTTCAAAATTGATTTCCTTTCTGATATCTGAGGGTAGTTTGGTTTTCTTGGAGTGATTTTTTTCAGCAGGCAACCTTCTTGTATGTTACACCCTCCCCCTTTTAATAGAATTTCTCTTCCTTCTTGATATCATTCTAAGCTCATTTTCAGAGCTTAGACCTGGAAATTGGCAATGTAGATAGCCACACAGAGTGAAGCAGGAAGATAGATGCTGCTAGGAACACTCTTTGGGGGGAACACTTTTTAACATGACTTTACTTTTTTTTACCTTTTTAACAAAATATATTGATATCTTTTATCACCTTCATTTCCCAGTATTTCCCTCCCTTAAAATTACTTTTCACAAACACATCTTTGGTGCCAGAAAATGGTGCCACTCCCCATAGTTCATGGATATTATCTAGTGCTAAGTTGTCACATGTGTGAGAGGCTCAAAGCCTGTGGTGAATCACACTCTAATCCTTTAAACCTTGCTTAGAGAGAACAAATGGTCCATCTTTCCTCCATATCCCTGTCACAAGCACACAAATGATTCTATCTGCATTAAGATCATAGGTTTCAAGTTGGGAAGGACTCTTGAGGTCCCCAAGTCTAACCCCCCACCCAGAGAGGTAAGACGAGGTACATAAAGGATGGGACTTGCCCATGGCCACGCAGATAGAAGAGCCAGGATTTAAACCCAGTTCCCCTGGCTCCAAATTCAGTGCTCTTGCTGGCACACCAGGCTTATTTAATTTTGAAGCAATCTCTCCTTTCTCCCCTTTCCTCCTTTCTTGTTTCTCAATCTTTTCCTCTGGAAATTTTAAGGGGGAAAAAAGAGCACAAAGGTTATAATTGTCTCCACCTGACCAGTTAGACCTTTCAGGGAAAAATCCTTTAAATTACGACATTCCCTTACAAAGCTCATGGGGATGGGGGTGGGGAGGGAGGGTGTGTTGGGGGGAAGCAGGAAGTAAAGTGGGAAAAATACTTTGGAATCTGGTGGGACAGCTGAGAAAAGAGGTAGAAGCAGCTGTGGGAACCAAAAAGGAGTCCTGAGGCCTCACAGCTTAAAGCCAGCCTAACAATCAGTGACTCACTGAGCCCTGCCCAGAGCCCCACCCTAAGCCACGTGTGTCCTTCATTCTGTTAGTCTGGATGAAAAGACAATGGCTCTGGTAGAGTCAGGATATGAAAAGAGAGCTCTGGATCCTGGTCTGCTTCTTTGTTTGGGAATTATTTTATTTTCTGTTAATTTTTTCTTTGTTTTGTTTTTGTCCATCTTATTCTTAGTGAAAGTATCTTTAGAAAGAATTCTGACTTTGTCTTGTGGCAACTAGACGGGGAAGGGAATTTATCCAACATCTGTGCCAAGAGATTTAAGGGAGATATGAGCTGTGGTCCCCACCCAACTCAGGATTTCCGGAAGAGCTAATGGGCCTTGGGTCATACAGAGGTGAAAATGAAGGAGAGAGAGAGAGAGAGAGAGAGAGAGAGAGAGAGAGAGAGAGAGAGAGAGAGAGAGAGAGAGAGAGAGAGGAAGAGAGAGAGAGAGAGAAACAGAGGCAGAGACAGAGAGAGAGAGAGAGAGAGAGAGAAACAGAGGCAGAGACAGAGAGAGAGAGAGAGAGAGAGAGAAACAGAGGCAGAGACAGAGAGAGAGAGAGAGAAACAGAGGCAGAGACAGAGAGAGAGAGAGAGAGAGAGAGAGAAACAGAGGCAGAGACACAGAGAGAGAGAGAGAGAGAGAGAGAGAGAGAGAGAGAGAGAGAAACAGAGGCAGAGACAGAGAGAGAGCTCACATCTGGACTCCAGATCCACGGGATAATGGAAAGGGTGAACAATTTAGAGTTCCCAGACCTACCTTCCAATACTTCCAATACTGCTATTTATTCTTATGGACCTGAGCAAGTCACTAAGCCTTGGGTTCTCAGCCTTTAAAATAAAGGGATTGGAACAGGTAACATCTAAGTTTCTTCCAGCTCATGAGTCTGGAGTTCCATGCCATCCATGACTCCTCATTTTAGGCCCAGAGAAGAGAAAGGACTTGCCCAAGATGACACAGGGAATAAGTAGCAGAGCCAGGATTCATACCTGTATTCTGGATCCAAATCAGAGGTTCTTCTTACTAGAAAGCAGACCCAGGACAACTGATGCCGCTGACCCACTTCCTTCCCACAGTGTTCTCTCCAGAGGAGACATGGGAGCCTCTTCTCTCTTCAATTGACCCAACAAGGCCCATACTCCATGCCTACTGTGGACAAGGCACCACCCTGTTACACACTGTTCCTACCTCAAAGACATTACATTCTGTTAGGGCTGAGGAGGAAGGAAAGGGTGTTGTGACGTGTACACAGATAAATAAATACAAAGTAATTTGGGGGCAAGAAAGGGAGAGAGCAGAAACCCCTGTGAGGAGATCAAGAAAAGCTTCCCTGACCCTGAAACCAAGTGAATATATGAAAGTATTCTGGTTCTAGGCTCTGGGCAGCCTCTAGGCCACGAAAGTAACCATCACAATTATCATCATTATAAATAATGAATTGTTAGTGGACACTAAGGCCTAAACTTTGAGGTTTTCTCTGGTTGAGTCCCATTAATCGTTGAGTTGCTTTTCAGTCATATCTGACTCTTTGTGACCCCATTTGAGGTTCTCTTGGCAATTTGTCATTTCCTTCTCCAGATTGTTTTACAGATGAGGAAACTGAGGCAAACAGGGTGAAGTGACTTGCCCAGGATCACACAGCTAGTCAGTGTCTGAGGCTGGATCTGAACTCAGGAAGATGAGTCTTTCTGACTCCAGGCCTGGTACTCTATGCACTATGGCTCCACCTATTTGCCCCTTAAGTCCTTTAAAAAGGCTGCAGAGGCCAGGAAAGCCCAACCACTCCTTTGAATTTCTTCTCCCTGCCCTCCTCCCATAGCAGAAATCTCTGAAGAATTCTGTAGTGAAAAAAGTGTCCCTCCTACACTTGGTGGTAAGAGCGCTAGTGGTTATTGAATCTGTAAGTAATCCATGATTCTTTCAGATTTGTGAGCCCTTATAATTATGGGATCATTTACAAAGTGGGAAACTGAGGCACAGAAGATTTACACACAGTTACACAGCTAATAAGGGGCAGAACTTGGGCCTTAACTAGAAGGTCCTCTGAATCCAAATCAAATACTCTTTTTTACTTAGATATAGCCCCAAACTCTTCAAATAATAAAAGTTACAGCTCATACCTTCCACCTCTCTTACTGCCCCTGGTAAGTTATGTGTGAGAGTAAAGGGTTAAGGCACTGGGGAGTGGGAGAGTAGGATCAACTCACCACCTCTCCTTAAGCTTTCTACTTTGGATAGCTCCAATCATTAGGGAATTTTTCCTTGTGTGCACAAATTAGCCTCTTTGGAATTTATACTGGTTTGTAATTTGTTTTGTTCTCTAGAACCAAGCAGAGCAAGCCTAAATCTTCTTCCATGGAACAATCTTCCAGGTTCTTGGCTAAAACATTTATTAGCTATGTGACTCTGGACAAGTCACAATCTCTTTGACCCTCTTCGTCTATAAAATGGGGATAATAATACTTTTGATACCTACCTCATGGTACCTACTTCAAAGCACTATTTAAATGTGAAATATATGTAGGGGTCAGGGAAATGGGACAGAGGACATACATAATGTGATTTGATTTGACCTAGATCCAAAGGTTCCTGCAGAAAGCCCGATCCACGGGAAAGCTAGTGTACCCTTTTATACCAAAATATGCTCCTCACTCCAATTGAAAAGATGAGATTGTCCCCTATATGTTCCTGATCCCAGGCTTGAGTCTTGCTGATTGTAATCTATATCTGTTATTTCCCTTCCAAAGGCCAAAAAAATCACCCCCACTGAAACAGAGAGATGCATTGAGTCCATGATAGCTGTTTTCCAGAAGTATGCTGGTCGGGAGATAACCAACTCCCGAAACACCCTCTCCAAGACTGAGTTCCTGGCTTTCATGAATACAGAGCTGGCTTCCTTCACACAGGTAATGGAGAAGAGCCTGTAACCTTCCACCTACAGTTTTGATCACTGAATGAATACAACAGACTGGTAATGACAGCCTTCCTCCAGTAGCCAAGCTACTCACTGGGTTTGGAAAGACAATGGACACCTTGACTGACAAGGATCAGGGTCCAAAAAGATCCCACTAAGCCTAAATGCTAGCCCAAAGCTAGTAGGAGGAAATTTAATGGTGGGAAATAAAAAGTCCCTACACTTGGGTTCAAAAAAACCAACTGAACAAGTATGAGATGGGAGGAGAGAGATGTAGCTAGAAAGAAGCTTATGTGAAAAAGCCTGGAGAGGTTTAGTGGACTGACCACACAGGGGTGGGGTGGGGTGGTGGCCGAAATGGCTAATGAGTTCTCAGGCTTCATGAATAGAAAAGTTCAGAACCAGAACAAAGAATGGTGACAGTGTTACAGTATTTTTTCTTAGACCGCACCCATCATATAGAATTCATTTCTGTGTTCCACTTTTCAGAAGAGACATTTTCATTCCAAAGCTAATGAAGAACAGGGAGCCCAAGATGACCGGGGGGGGGGGGGGGGGGGGTGTCAAAACCATCTCATTGAACGAATAGTTTAAAGAAGCTGGGGGGGTTTAGCCTGGAAAAAGGAAAAGTACAAACAGACATCATCATTCTCAAATATATCGAGGGCTGCCACATGTCAGGTTCTGCCTAGTCTCCTTGGCTCTTGAGGGTCGAATCAAAACCAATAGAATGAAATTCATAGGGAGGCAAGAAGATAGGTTTTAGCCCATCATAAGGAAAACTTTTGTAGCAATGAGAACTATGTAGCCATGGAATGGGCTACATCAAAGGGTAACAAGCTAGTTCCCTATTAGGGAAAGTCTTCAGGCAGAAGCTAGATGACCATTTGTTGGGGGATATTGTAGGTGGGTTCAGAGATGGCCATGGAGTCAAGAAGAACTAAGTCCAGGTCCCATCTCTAAAACACACTGGCTGTGTAATTCCAGCAAAGGAGGTGGCAGCTAGCATTGATATGGGGAATTTCCTTGCCCGGGAGTTTCCTGTAGCAATGAAATCATTACTTTCATAGGATGTGGGTAGATGAGCTCCAAGATCCCTTCCGACTCTGAAAGCCTATGATTCTACCATATTTTGTGGAGGAATGATAGAATCACAGAATTTTACCACTGGGAGAGACTCCAATGGCCATCCAGTCCAACCTTACCCAAAAGGAATACCCACTTTAACATACCTAACAAGTGGGTATCCAGACTCTGCTTAGCGATTTCCAATGAAGGGTGACCCACTCCATCCTCTCAAAGCATTAAATTCCACTTTTGGATGGCTCTAATTGTTAGGAAGTCTCCATCAAGCCAAAATTCACCTCTTTGTTACTTCAACCCATTACTGCTGGGAGACCCAACTGTACAAGCCCAACCCCTCTTCCATATCACTGCCCTTCAAATACTTAAACCCAGATATCATACCAAAGCCCACTCCCAATCTTCTCTCCTTCAAGGTAAATATCTCTTGTTCCTTCAACTACTCTTCACATGACATGGACTCGAGGCCTTTTGCCATCCTGTGTACCATCCTCCAGATGCTTTCCCATTTGTTGTTGTTCAGTCGTGCCTGACTTTGTGTCCTCATTTGGAGTTTTCTTAGCAAAGATACTGGAGGGGTTTGTCATTTCCTTCTCCAGCTCATTTGACAGATGAGGAAACTGAGGCAAACAGGGTGAAGTGACTTTCCCAGGGTCACACAGCTAGTAAGTGTTCGAAGCTGGATTTGAATTCAGTAAGATGAGTCTTTCTGACTCCAGGTCTGGCATTCTATGCACTATGGCGCCACCTAGCTGCCCTCTCCAACTTAACGGTGTCCTTTAAATGCAGTGCCTACAACTGAATACCATGCTGCAGGTGTGAAGGCAGAGTACAACAGAACTACTACCTCCTTATTTCCTAACCTTAATGTTTCTCTTGTGGTAGCCCAAGATCATGTTAGCTTTTTTATTTTGACTACAGCATCACACTACTGACTCATATTGAGTTTTCAGTCTACTAAAACTCCCAGAACTTTAGTAGAACTGCTCTCTCACCATGCCTCCCCCACCCTGTTACTTAAGAAATTGATCCTTTGAACACAAGGAAAACTTTACATTTATCCCTATTGAATTTTACATATGGGATATAGGAAGGTTAGAATTAGGATACTATTCACATAGAAGGCACAGGAAAATAAAGGAAATCTATTCCAGTGTGGCAATAGCTACACTTCATTCACTTTTCCCAGGCTCTGTTCTGTATTTGTCATCCCTAATCGTCTGTTTCTCTGAGTAAGGATCCAGCCTACTTCCGTCAAATATCCCTCTCTTCATTTCTTCTTGAAGTATGACTTATTTTAAAGATTCAAATCTGTGGAATGCCTAGCATGTATATATTGACAAGAAACGTGGTCTTCAATCTAGTTAGGAAGAGATTAGCATGAAATGTTAAATGTGGCAAAAAGTCTGAACTTTGTCTTATCATTTCTGCAGAACCAGGATCCTGGTGTTCTGGACCGAATGATGAAGAAATTGGACCTCAATTCTGATGGGCAGTTAGACTTTCAAGAATTCCTGAATCTAATTGGGGGCTTGGCACAGGCCTGCCATGCCTCCTTCACAGCAGCTAGCCAGCCTGTCAAGAAAATGTGAATGGGCCTTCCAGCCAATTTTCCAGATATACCCTCCCTCCAAACCAGCCAATGTGTACCCATTCCTCATAGTCACACACTGAACCCTAAGAAGCCAAGGCTACAATACAAGCCATTCACTTTCTAACAATAAAATGTGATTTTTTAAAAAATAAGCACACAGTTGAGAAATTGTCTATATGACTGCAGGGACAAGAGGTGAAAGAAAATCTGGGTAAATCATAACTGCTAGAAGCGTAACTCATGAGTCAGTTAGGGATTGGACTCCATAGGGTGGACTGGGTCTATCTGGGAGCTTCTCTCAATAATTTCTGTGGTTCATTTTGCCCTAACCAGATTCCCCCCTAGGAACTTCATTATCCAGTTACTCTCTCTCTAAGGCTCTTGGCACCTTTACAAGCTCTTAAGCCAACCGACATCAGATGTAATACAGGTTTTATTACTCCAATAAACGATAAAAGGGTGTTTCATAACTGAACCCCTCAGCCATAAGGACAATTCTGCCCTTTCCAAAGGAAATCCTTTCTGTTGGATCCCCAACTTCCCTCTGGACCTACACACGATTCACAGTATTAGCAAAAGGTTGTCCTTGACGCACTGCTGCTCCTTCTTCCCCTTTGGAACCACACAAATAGCCTCTGGGCCTTTCTCTAGGTCCAAGTGAGGCTCTCTTCTGTCTCCTCTTCCACCTTCTCTCACTGAGATTCTAAATCCCTTTCCTCTCTCTATCTCTGTCTCTCTCTGTGTGTCTCTGTCTCTCCATCTCTGTCGCTCTGTCTCCCTTCCCCCATCTCTCCTCTCTCTCTCTGGCACCAACTGTTTTTTTCCATGATGCCAAATGGAGACAGCTCTCTTCAGCACATCTCTCTCCAGATCTCCATGCAGCCTAGCATCTCTGTGTCTCTGTCCCTCTCTGAGGCTCTTTTTCAAACATCAAGCCCAATAGCCAGGTCAAGTGTTAACTTTATCATTCCTAAAGTATCAGATGTGTACCTGATTCAGTGAGAAAACAAAGTCCATATCTATAGGTCAGGCAGGACCCAGGACAAAGAAGATTCATCTCTTGATCAAGAAACAGTAGAGAGGGGAGGACCTTACCTGATTCTTCTTTGCATATGCAGCAAGTCTTCATAGAGAAAACCTATCCAATTAGCAGCACAGTGCTGACCTTCTCATCTTTTCCATTGCATCTAAGAACTACAAGGGAAGAGTTGGGCCACCCCTAAGGAAAGTCTCATTTCCTTTAGGAGGTTTTATATGTAACTAGTCTTTAAAACAAGGCAGCTAGGTTGCACAATGCATAGAGCGCCCAGCCTGAAGTCAAGAAGACTCAAGTTCAAATCTGACCTCAGATCCTTACTAGCTGTGTAACCCTGGATGAGTCACTTAACCCTGTTTGCCTCCATTTCCTCATCTGTCAAATGAGCTAGAGAAGGAAATGGCAAACCATTCCAGTATCTTTGCCAACAAAACTCCAAATGGGGTCACAAAGAGTCAGAGATGTCTGAAAAAACAACTGAACAACAGACATTCTCTACAGAGGTGTTTCCTTACGGATTGCATACACTTGTAAAAGATGCTTCCTACTTACATATTACCCTTGAGTACAAAGTCAACTTTCAATTATCCAAACTAATGAAGAGAAGGGAACAAAGGCATTAGTTTACCTTCCTAATTATGTTTCATCTGAGTTAATGTTAAAATTGACCCTGAGGCCACATTGACTAGGCAAGCAGGAAGACATAGCCCGGGAGCAGTATGGGGAAAGCTGACCTGGGATTAAAAGTAATATTGTGGCTAATACCCATGTGAATAATTAATCATTTTAGTGATATATTTACATTAGCATATAGGTCTCACACCCAATCCCAAATTACATCATTATCTCCATAATTTTCCCAAAATGGGTTGAAGCAGAAAGCAAACATTAGGCTTATAAAGAGGCCAAGCTGTGGCTTAACATCAGAAAAAAAAAATCCCTACCAATTAGAACTGTCCAAAAATAGAATGGGCTTCATTGGGAAGAGCTGGGTTCCCTGACCTTGGAGGTCTTCAAGCAAAGGCTAGATGACCACTTGTGGGGTGTGTCCAGGAAAGCCCCTTCACACTCTCAACTTCCATGATTCAATAAAGGGCAGAAAACAAGCCCAAGGAAAAGATCACATTTCGGGGTGGGGCTCTGAGAATGTGTACCATTGTGAGTTTTCAATTTCTTTGTCACAAATCAATGCGCTGGAGTATGAAGGCCCAGAAGTTTTCTAGGAATGGTAGCTGTCTCTTAGTCACACATACACACCAAATATTCTCTTTTATGTTTTAACAACTTAGAAAAAGATACTATTTAGTGAATCATCTCCTGAGTTGCTTAGAAATTGGCCATGTGTGAAAACAAGGCGCCATTACTCCAAAGTACATGAAAGCAGTAAAATGATGGTGCTTAGGCACCTCAAAGGTAGTTCAACATTTTTCCAGTCCACCTGGAAAATGTTAGGTCTCATTTTAAGGCATCATCCCCAGGGTACCATCTATTTTGAAAATCAGTCAGGCATTTTGGAGAGCAATCTGGAATCATGACCAAAGAGTTATTAAACTACCTATGCCCTTTGACCTAGCAATACCCTACTGGTTCTATTTCCAAAGAGGATTAGGGAAAAAAGGAAAAGAATTCATATGTTCTGAAATATTGATAGCAGCTCTCTTTGTGGTGGCAAAGAACAGGAAATCGTGGGAATGCCCGTCAATTGGGGAATGGCTGAGCAATTGTGGTAGATGATCATGGTGAAATACTACCGTCCTATGAGAAATGATTAGCTCATTGATTTTAGAAAAACATGGATAGACTGGCACGAAATAATGAAGAACAAAACGAGCAGAACCAAAAGAATGTTGAAGACAGTAGCAGCAATATTGTCTTGAGAACAGCTTTGAGCAAGTAAGTCATTTTGACCACTGTAAGTGCCCCAATTAACTACAAAGGATATATGAAGGAAGACGCACTCTGCTTCAGAGAAAGAAGCAATAAATAGAAGTATGTATAGAGTGGTTTTACATATATGTGTAAATATATAATACGTGTATGTATAATATATAATATGTGTAAATAGATTTTATATATATATATATATAGATATATATATATATTATTATATATATATATATATATATATATATATATACATATTTGTGTCTCATGGTAGCCATCTTTAAGGAGGGAGAAGGGGGAGGGGAGAGAAAAAAAGAAATTTACATGATAACTTTATAGATTTAAAAGGAATAGCAAGTTTTATATAATAGATTTGCAATTTCATGCACAATCATCTTTTTAAAAATTCTGTTATGTTAGGGAAATGCTTGTTTTATTTCATAAATTTAAAATAAATATAAATAAATAAATAAATGGAATAACTCAAGGGGCCGACTCCAAGGCTGGAGCTTTATCCACTGCGCCATCTAGCTGCTCCTAAGGCATAGTATTCAGAACTACGATTACAGCCATGTGCCCTCATCAGACTCCATCCGGAATGTCCAGTTTAAGAGATCATCTTTTAGAAAAGACATTGATAGCTAAGGGTCATCCAAAGGACTTGAACCAAAAAGGAGAAAGGACTCTCAAGCTGGGACTATATGAAGATCAGTTGACAGAAATAGAGATCTGTATCCAGGAGGCGAGAAGGTTAGGGGTAAGGAGTGTGAGAGGCAGGAAAGCTGGATGAAAGAAGAAGAAAGACTGTGACATGGAAGAGCAAATGGCCTTGTTCTGCCTAGCCCCAGAGGCCACAACTAAAAGCAATGGATAAGTGGAAACTGAAAAGTAGTCTTTCAATTTGAGAATGATGTAAGGAAAAACTTCCTAAGAATTGAAACGATCCAGAGACTACTTGCTGATTTGTTGTAGAGGGGATGATTGGTTTTTCACGTGTAGGTTCGGCTGCATGGCTTCCGAGGGCCCTTAAAGCTCTGAGAGCCTATGATTTTGTGGGTTGTTGCAGGACACTGGGAAATGTTCTCTTGTTAATGATTTGATAACACTTGAAAGGGATGAATTCTTAATTTTCTTTCCCATTTGACAACTCTCAATGCCTTCAAAGGCTATATTAATCCAATAACAAGGCACCTTCCTGTAGCCTTAGGGATTTAGTAAAACTAGAGAAATGGTGCGTATACTTTTTATTGAAACTTTATTGCATTCATATACTTAATTTCAACTTTATTTGTGCTTTATTGGGGAGGGTGATTGCATCTGTCAGAATTTAGATTTAAGACAAAATTGTAAGGTCAATATACTACATAAAATTTTTGCATTATTTTAATCTTCTGTGGTAGAATGAAGTTGTGATTTACTAAAAATAAAAGCTTATTTTAGTATTCAGATTGAAAAAAAAAAACAAGGTCTCAATTCATCTGGCTTTTATGGAACCTAAGATCCTCTCAGAGCCAACTTTCTAATCCAGAAGGCTGAAGAGGCCAAGCAGGAGCCTACAATAGTGAGTGATTACTACACTCAGGAATAATGGATGCCTGAGCCTGGGAGACAGTGACAGTTCGGATATTCAAGGGCAGATCAATCCTTGGGCATTCCATTGCCAGCGTAACTGAGGACAACCAAACTCTCGCCATGTCTTTAGTCTATTCTAGTACCACATAACAACTTTCAAATGAAGATTAGGTTTTGTGGTCTAGTTCAGGCAATCCACCAGTGATCAAGTGCCCTATTGAATAGCAGCTAGAAGGATAATACAGAAATTTCAGCTGAGTTCTGAGTGTTCCCACTAACTCCAGGGTACCTAGACAATCAATCAATGAATTAATCAATCAACAAACATTTATTAAACACTTTCTAGGTACCAAGTCCTGTACTTAGGGGTTGGGGACATAAAGATAGTCCTTGCCCTCAAGAAGCTTACATTCTAGTTAAAGGTGGGAAGTAGGGGAGAAAGACATGTACATTTATAGACATGTATATAAATATATACATATATAAAGGTATGCATATAAATATATACAAACTATAATCGATAAAATAATAACAGCTAGCATTTATATAGCACTTTAATGTAGCAAAGCCCTTTACATATTTCCACAGCTACCTTGGGAAGTCACCCAGCTAGTAAATGCCTGGAACTGGATTTGAACTCCAGTCTTCCTAACCCCA